AATCTCGGGTGCAACAATCCCTGTAGACAAAGCACATAGTTTTACAATTATTGTGAGCTTGGAGATATAAGGTCCGAGTGTAATTTGAGGGTGCCATGGAGACACTCCAAGACTGTTTTAAATGCTCTGACTGGAACATCTTCAAGGCTGCAGCAACATACTGTATGATGACTTATTAAATATTGATGAGTATGCCATGACTGTGTCAGCCTACATCAACAAATGCATTGAGGACGTCAGCATCAAAAAGAACATCACCACCCGGGCCAACCAACCACCCTGGATAAATGGAGAGGTTCGGAAATCGCTAAAAGCACAGAACTCAGCTTTCAAGTCTGGTGATACAGAACCACAGCCAGAAGATCCGGGATCTTTTCCAGGATGACAGCAACGCCAGGAGGATGTGGAAAGGCATTCAGATGATCACAGACTACAAAACACCCTCTCCCCCCGGTAGATGCAGCAAGGTTTGAGGCACTGAACAGCACTCCAGCAGTAAAAGCTGTTCCATACCAGGGGGAGGAGGCACTAAACCTGGAGATAGCTGAAGTGCGGAAAACTCTGAGGAGCATCAATCAGGGCCTAATAACATACCTGGGTGGGTGTATAAGGACTGTGCAGATCAGCTGGCTGGTGTCCTCACAGACATTTTTAACACCTTGTTGGACCAATCTGTAATGCCAGCAAGCTTCAAGACTATCACCATTATTCTGGTTCCAAAGAAGCCTCAGGTCACCTCACTAAATGATTACCGGCCTGTCGCACTGACTGATGTGCTTCGAAAGGCTGGATAAAGAACACATCGTGTCCAATCGGCCGCCAACATTGGACCTGTTCCATTTCGCCTACCGACGAAACCGCCCCACTGAGGAGCGAGAAGAATGCCTTTGCAGAACTAAGGAGTGTGGTGAGGGAGAGGCTGCTCAACCTCCGCCGGGCGGAGTGGCACAGGAAGATAGCAAGGGGAGGGCCCGCAAGCTCAGTTCCTTAATCACAAACCCATTTGGATTTGCAAAGAAGCTGCTGGGAGAGAAACGCAGTGGTCAGCTCTCATGTCTGAAGGAAGACATCAACCGCCACTTAAGGAACACTTACAGTGACGGCATGAGAGACCAAGACCTTGGCCACCGTGAAGCCCTGATATGCCCACCTGAACCCAGTACTCTTTTTGACACCAGAACACCCACCTTTAAGGAGGTCAAAGAGGGTTAAAAGCGTCAAGAGCGGCATCAGCACCAGGACCCAGTGGAGTCCCATACAAGGTCTTCAAACGTTGCCCCCGCCTGCTGTAGCGTCTGTAGAAGATCTTCAGAGCGATCCTGAAAAGAGGGAAGGGTGCCCCAGATGTGGAAGCATGCCGAGGGAGTATGAATTCCCAAATAGGAGAAAGTGAAGAACATCGAGCAGTTCAGATCAATCTCCCTCCTCAGAGTGGAGTGAAAGGCCTTCTTCAAGGTAGTTTCCAGCCGTCTCATGGGATTTCTACTGAAGAACACCTACATCGATACATCTGTGCAAAAGGGGGGTGTGCCAGGGGTCCCGGGGTGTATCAAGCACACTGGTGTAGTGACACAGCTGATCCGGGAGGCGAGAGAGAGCAGGGGCGATTTGGCAGTTCTTTGGCTGGATATTGCCAATGCTCATGGATCAATTCCACACAAGTTGGTGGAGTTATCCCTGAGCAGATATCATGTCCCAGAGAAGGTGAGGCATCTCATCCTGGACTATTATGGAGATTTTAGTCTCAGGGTGTACATCAGATTGGCACCGTCAGGAAAAAGGAATAATCACTGGCTGCACAATCTCTGTCTCCTTGTTGCCATTGCCATGAATATGTTGGTGAACAGGGGCGCCTCTAGAACTGTTTCATAGGGGTGGCCAGATGGGGTCTCTTAAATTCTTGGGGTGGCACACAGAAGCATAATTTCAGGGTTTTATTCTACTGCTGTGGTAAAACTGCCTGTGGAAAACTATCATAAAGATCAAAGTAAACAACTACTCTACTACTCTACTCTACACTACTGATCTAATGTGCACAGACATAGACCAGTTAACATTTTGAGTTGAGCACTAGTTGTGTTTTATTTATATTTGAAATAAGTTGTACATTTATTCATTTTTTGAAAACTAAAAATGACTGCTGGTCCAGGAACAGGTGGAACACCTGCTTTCACAGAGTTCTGCCAGGCTTCTGTCATCAAAGCTGCTGACTGTCCCTGGTCTGCTGCTGTTTGATGCTTTTCCTCATCACTGTTCTTTATTAATGCTGCTTGATCTGTTTCTCTCCTCCATCCTCCTTCTCTCTCTCCTCCTCCTCTCTCTTCTCCTCATCCTCCTGCTCTTCCTTACTGGTTATCTGTTGCTCCCCTGTCATCTCTTTCTCTGCTTCTGCTGTATCTTCTTAAAATCAGAACAGATGTCTGTGAAATTTCTCTTCTTGTCTGAAAATTGACAAGCCATACACAATCACCAACTCATCCAGTTAGCTACATAGCTATGTCAAAAACACACTAAAAGCTGCTTTAACAGTATAATGTACTTTCACAAACAAATTATTTGACTTATTTACCTACTGTTAGTTTTATACGCTTTCTCACCGTTGAAGCGGGCACGGGCTGAGCCGTAGTTCTCTGAGCGCACAAGAGTGGTGTGAGTACCTGATCTGTACCTAAAGCACCCCATATTTGCTTGCGGATGCGCAAGCAAATATGGGGTAGGGGAGGGGAAGAACAGGAGGACTACAGTGTGCGAAAATGACAGCAAGAGCGGCTGCTTTGCTGGATGCATAATGGGGTGAAACGCTAAACCGAGGCTACTACAATTCACACTGGCAAGTGGGGGGGCATAGCTCAGGGTGGCAACCCCCTGGTGGTGCCCTTGTTGGTGAAGTGAGCAGAAGTAGAGTCCCAAGGCCCATTATCCAAATCTGGTACCCGGCAGCCACCAATCCGAGCATTTATGGATGATCTACATCAGTGCCTGGGTGCAGATGGTTGCTGCAAGGCCTGGATAGACTCATCTCTTGGGCAAGGATGAGTTTCAAGCCTGGGAAGTCCAGGTCCCTGGTCTTGCGGAAAGGGAAGGTGACGGACCGCTTCCGCTTCAGCCTGGGAAATACCACTATTCCATCCATGTCTGAAAAACCAGTGAAGAGCCTTGGAAAGCTCTTCGACTGTGGAGGGCTTTGAGAGGAAGATCATTCAGTACCTCCGCAGGTGGCTGGGCTTGCCTCGCATTCTGAGCAGTATTGCCCTGTTTGGACATGGGACCAAGCTCCAGCACCCGTTTAGTAGCGTGTCAGAGGAGTTCAAGGTCGCCCGGGCCAGAGAAGTCCTTCTCTACAGAAACTCCACTGATGGGAAG